ATTTCAGCTTTCCACCTCTTCTAGTTCCCATGTTAGCAGTTTGTCTATAAAAAACTTTGGCGGGCCAGTACGTGGGTACAACGCGGGTAAGAGCGCCAATTTTGAGCGTCCCCGTTTCGGCTTTAGAATACACACGTAAAACATTTGGTTGTGTCTAAGTCTGTGACAGCTTTAATATGTAAAATTGACTCTCCTTTCGCCGTTATACACGTGGATAGTCAGAAAGCTGCCAAAGCGCAAAATACGTGTAGGAGGCTTACACAGGTTTGTGATGGAACGCAAAGACTAGTAATTTAATGATCCATAAATCAGAATTCGAAGATTCTTGAGACAACGTTGGCGAATTCGATTTCCTCCAAAATGGCCCAGCATAGCTTTGCAAAAAAGGATTCCGTTCATGGCAGCGCTTCTTCGTTCCGTCGATCCACCTTTAGTTGCTGTGACTTAAGATTACCGTGCAGTGGTGGATTCAGTGGTGATTTAGTTAGCTTAAAGAGGGGAAACGAGTTGAATTTATTTTCTGGTTATAACGAGGATGACTTGTTGGATCAGAATAACAACTGGCAAAATGAATAGATAGCAACATAGGAGTACTTGTTGAAAAAGCTTATTAATAAACTGCTCACCCTTGCTGTTCGTCTGGCTAAGGCACAAAGCGAAAACACGCAAAATACGCGAAGATAGCTTTTTTTTTTAATTTTTTTTGATTTATCCTCTTCTTACTTTTTCAGATTATAACCTATTCCTTACAGATTTTAAACTACTTCCTTAAAAAATTCTTTTTATTTCTGTATATTTATTTTACCAACACCACAGCCATGATACTAACGAGACTCTGAGTATGGATGTATACGGGTTAACGGACCGAAATATTCCTTTTCATTAATCTTTTAATATATTGTTGTTTATATGATAATTGGTACCTCTGTTACGGTCTTTTTAGCTTTCTTTTTCGTTCAGGCACAGGTGGTTATGCGAATTGTTGACGCACAAGTAGCAATCTCGATGCTTCATCGTGAAACGCCTGCTGTTACACAACCGTTCCACCAGCAACAACCACAGCAGAAGACATATCCAGGTTAGTTACTTCAGCACAACCCCTTGCCAAAAATCAAAATCACCTCCGTATTTATTCTCTGTGAAGGGCGGATGCACTCAAGAAGTAGCTGTGCTTAGCTTTTGTATTTCTTGAAATGTACTACTGCTTCAAAAATTTGCAGAAACATCCTCGTCGACGTTGGTGCCTGGGCCGGCAAATATGCCGCCGACGATTTTCCCTGGTTCAGGGCCGACAGCGGCGCCACAGTTAACTTCTACAGTGCCGATGGGTGTCCCAAGGGGAGTGCAAGCACCCGCAGTCACTCGTGCGCCTTCTCCTCGAGTAGCCGAAACAGAACTTAGTCCTGATGACCAGCAACAGGCACAGCTATTGATGCAGGTGCGTCTACTTCATGTGTTTCTTTTCTTGTATTAATCTGTGGCCATTTGCAATAGAAGCATAATACGAGCAAAAGTTCGCTAGGGAAATTTTGGCACGAATTGAAATATTTTCATCTTTTTTTTGCTTTGATTTATGATCAGTTTTTGTAAAGTTCGAAGACAGGGGAGGGGGAAGAAAGGACTTCAGTTGTAATATTATCAAATATTAGAAACCACTTTTGAGTTTTTATGAACCAGGTTTTGGAATCATATTCAAACAACATGTGCATTTCTTCCTCTCTTTCCTGTATAATATAAAGCTTGCAGGTATTGCAACTAAACGAAGAGCAAATTGCTTTGCTGCCACCGGAAGACCGAAGAAAAGTAATCGAATTACGAAATCAGCTGCGATCCAGTGTTTAAACTTTGTTATCT